CGGAAGGTCCAGACCAGGTGTGGACGAGGGAAGTAATGTATGCTGAGGCTGCCCAGGTACCAGGCATGGTGCTGGGCCCTCAGCTCACATACTTGTGTTGTTTTCTCAACCAGCCCTGTGCAGGAGGTGTCAGCATCTTCCCTTTCATACTCGCCAGCTGGGCTCAAACTGATTAACTGTGTACCTGCATCCTGTGTTCTGTGTCTGTTGGTATTGATTTAAAAATAGAAAACAAAACCCCTGTGATTACTGGTCCCACCACTATACCAGGCCTGCTTTTATTGGACAGCAAAGCCTATACCCCAGAGAGAGCCCTAGTCCCTGGCCCCCTAACTCGAAGCTCATGCAGCACAGGAAGTGGCTTCTCTGGTCTGTTTCCCACTTAGTCACACCCTGGCCGGGGTTCCGAGTTTCCTAGGGCGTCCGGGAAAGAGCACTGCATGGTGGAGGGGCGGACTTTGACTTTGAACCCCCTGCTCCAGCAGACCTGGCTCCAGTTCTTCTACTTCCTCTCTCTGTGACCTTGGGCAGTCTTTTAACTTCTCTGCGCTCAGGCAGGAGGATAAACCATGTGAGAGTACCAGCATTTGACCATTTTTATCCTACAAAATGGCAATTTCATGTGGCTCCACCAAATCTATACACCCTGAAGATGTCTTCATGAGCTGCTTGGGCTACTAGACTCATCTCCTCCCCGAGAGCCCACGGTGTTGAGGGCTCAGTCGTCCTGGACTATGGTGAACAGGAAGTGAGTTCTGAAATCACTGCCTCAGTGTGAAGAGGGAGCATTGAAATCGTGCCTCCCTGGAAGGTCCTGTCTGCACTGAAGGGGGCCATTAACCAAGGCTGTCATTTGTCGGATGTGTGGTGAGAGCTGCAGGGACACGGCATGGTGCTGACGCAGATGCTCCTGTGTGGCCAAGCAGGATTATTTCCAACAGAGTTGTGGGGTGACAAGCACAGCCCAGAGGGGTGGGAGGCCTTAGGAGGCTGTGCTAGGTGGCCAGGGTCTAATGGTTGTGTTTCTTGTAGTTGAGAAGCAGCATAGTTGGTGGCCAAGAGCCCAGCTGGAGTCCAGCTGGCCAAGTTTGAACCCCAGGTCTGCCTCTTGCCTGCTGACCAGAATTTCTCGGTGTCCAAGGGTCAGAGGGACAAACAGTGTGCTGTGTGACCTTGGACAGGTCACTTAACCTCTCTGAGCCTCATTTTTCTGTAAAATGTAGGTAGGAAGTGGGGAGTTAGAATTGTAAGTAGGGTTGTGAGGCTGGAAATCAGATGCTGCTTCTGGAAAAACTGCGCCCAGTGCCTGGCCCCTGTAGGGGCAGCCATAGTGAGCTGTGGTTTTACTGTGGGAGCCCTTTGGGGTCACCTCCTGACCTCTCCATTGGAGTGGTAGCCATGTGTTGAAAGAAGTACCCCTGGGCTCTTATCTGATGTGTTTTGCCCTGGAGATTTTTGCAGTCTAGAAACAGGAATGTACTTTAGAAAGGATTTAATTTTGGGGTAAATTAATTCTTGAGGAGCAGGAAAAGGGCTTTTAAACTAAAAAATTAATTGCTTTGGAAGGCTTCTCTTTGTCTCTTCACTTTCCCTGCAACTGTGGACCGTAGGACCCTGTCAGCCCTAAGGCCTTGCAACAAGCCTTCTTGAGTGGCCTCTGCATCATTGCTAACTGAGCGGATGGTACTGTGCGGTTGCCATGGTAGCAGCAGGATGTGGTTCCTATGGTGATGGTCGGCAGCAGCAGGAAGACAGCAGAGGTTTTAGTTATCTGGTGGCTCTGCATTTGCTGCACCCCCCCGCCCCCCCACACCCCCCTCCCGGAACAGCACAACGCAAGCTGCCCCCACTGCTGCTCTGCTCTGTAAAATGGTGACTACTGAGGTCGCCACCTCCCCGAAATGCCACTGTTGCTTCTTGGAAAGACTGGGCTGTGCAGAGGCAGTTCTGCTTCTGGGAGAGGGAGGGGCCTCAGTGTCTCCAGGAGCACCTCAGCTGGGCTTTATGTGGACCCTGAATCCAGCAGGCAGGGTCTGCGGGAGCTTCCCCCAAAAGCCCCTCCCGCAGGCTCCCTGGAATGAATTTTTCTCTCAGCCAGGTCCGCCTCTGTTTGCAGGCAGATGTGGGGTGGTGGACTAACAAGAGGAACCAAGTGATTTTTAAAACTTCTTTTATACCTTGCATCCAGATTTCAAAATGGCACCGTTTGCGGGGTTACCTGGGTTTTCAAGCATGTGATGTTTTTCTTCAGCTTGGGATTGGCTGAGATCAGGGAAAGGAAAAATGTATCCTGAATGTTTCTTTTCCTTTTTGGCATCCAAAATCTTAACAGATTGAATTTCTCTGTAGAAAGCATCTGAAATCACACAGATCAAATTTCTCAGTAGAAAGGCAAGTGTATAATACAGTGAAATGTAGTGTACAGAATGTTATTTCTTTTTTATCTAGAAATGAGGGAGGGAAAGTGTAAGCAGGATTCAAGGGGCATTAAAATTTAAGAGTAAATCTGAAATTTAGGTGCTTTGTGTGAGTAGACATAGGGCTGCTGTTGGGCAGTGACGTCCATAAAGTGTACGTTTAGACTTGAGGAGGCTGTCCAAGAGAGGAAATGTCAACTGTTTTTGCCTCTAGCTGAAATCCTGTCAACCCAGTGTGGCAACATGATTTGCTCATGCAGGTCAGGCCCTCTGATTGGTGGTTGGTGACGTCACTGGGTTTCCTGGCATGTGATTGGTGGACTGGGCCCTGCCAGCAGAGCCATAGTCAGGTAGTCAGACCTGGACTGAAACAGGCGGGCTGGAGAGCCCTCTGGACAGACAGAACTCCTGTCAATGGTAGGGCCCAGGGCCAAGCTGACTTTTCTTTTGCACCTGAAGCAGCCAGAGGTCAGAAGAGTGGCTTCTAGCAAAGCCCTGGGGTGCCCAGACTATAGATTCCCGTGGCGAGGAATGCACTTTGAGTGAACACTGCACTCTTGGAGAGGCTTTTCCTTTTTGAATTTTGAGAATAAAAATTAAATAAATACACACTTTAGGAGACATACGTGATCAGTAGGGCTTGTGCTTGGCCACATACAGATGGCAAGATGATATTCAGGTTAGCCAATAGACAAATGGAAGGCAGCAAAGACTCATGTCAAAACCCCACATTTCTACCACCCGGTACCCACGATTGTTAATATTTTGTCCTCTTTGCTTTGCCTTTGTAAGTAAAAGGAATAAAACATTGTTGGAGAAGTTTTAATTACCTTAACAGTCACCTCTAGGTCACCACCTGCTTCCAGGCTCCCTTTCAGATAAATTTGGTGTGGATCTTTCCATTAGACTTTAAACACTCTTACACACACACACACACACACACACACACACACACACACACTTAACTATAAACGATACGTATGTTTCTAAAACGCCCTTACAACCTAGCTTTTCTGCTCTGCATCGTGTGCTCCTGTGTTTGGGATTTGCTTCTGTTGATTCGTACAGAGCTAGTTCATTTTTGTTCACTGCTGCAGACTACTTTGTGTCTGCCGTCTTGTTCTATCAGGGTGCTGGCCCCAGATGGGGGACAGATTTACCCCATCTTATAGATGGGGATCTGGAGCTCATGGTCACTCAGCTGCAAGGTGGGTTCATTACCCCACACGACCCCCATGTTGGTTGGACTCCAGAGGCAGGGCATCCCTCATGGCACCTCAGGCCTGCCTGGTCCCTGACCAAACAGCTGACTAATCCAGCTGGTGAGTCCAGGTTCCCGAGTCACCCAGCCTAGCCATGTTTGCCTAATTCAGGCCACTGCCAACCCCCCTCCCCCCAAAGGGCACTGTGGCCTAGAACTCTGTCTGAAGGGAAACGCATGCCAATGCTTTTGTTAGGAGAGTGCTGTGCCCATTTCTCCGACCATCCTCAGCTCCTGGTTGGAGCCCTTGGGAGGAGGATTGGAAAAGCAGCTTTGGGCACCAGTGTCACTCAGCTGAGCACCCTGAGTTGTCTTGAGCTGAGTCACATCAGGCAACCTTCAACGTTAGCTCAGGCACAGCTTCCTCACCCAGAGCTTGGATGTGAGGCTGATCTCATCTGTCGGCTTTCTCCCAGCGTCGGGGCCTCTGGAACCAAAAGCCAGCCTCCTGCTCACTGGCAGAAACTCGCCACTACTGGTTCCTGAGTCATCAGTGTTTTCACCAGGTGTGTTTGTGTGTGTACCTGTGACGGTGTGGGAGTGTGGGCGTTCCACCGTGGCGTAGATTTATTTTTCTGTGGCCCCCGCCCATCCCATCTGTCAATGGCTCCTTGGAGATCACTGACCTGTGACCTGGGGGGTTATCACAACATCACATAGACACCTGAAAAACTAGGCCGTGTCAATACCACCACCCCTTGCTTCTAAGGGAAGCCAGTTTGAGATCAGACAGAACTTGGCTCTTTCAGTCACTGAGCAGTATTTGTGGAGCCTTCCGCTCGACCTGCTCTGGGGATTGCGTGGCAAATGAAACAGAGACGGTGCCTGTCATGCTGGAGCCTGCAGCTTGTGGGAGAGCGACAGTAAACAGACAGATGCACACAGAGCTGCCCCGGCTCCTCCGTCAGCCCGCCTGCCAGTCCCAGCTGGGTGGCCTGGGTGAGTGAACTGAGTCATCTGGAAAGTGTAGTCACAATACTGCTAACCTCACAGGGTTATTGGGAAATCTCAGCGAGACAACGTGCTCATCGCCCTGCCCAGGGTGCTGTGGCTGCAGCTGTGACCATGGCCATCGTTTATAGAGCAAGAAATGAGGCCAGAAAGGTGAAGTGCCCTGCCCGTGGTGGCACAGTAGCTCTCAAGCCCAGGCTATGTGGCATCCCAGCCAACCTTAGGGCCAGCAGGCAAATCTGCCCCCAGCCAAAGGGAGTCTGTTCCTCTTCTTACGAGCGACAGTGTTCTCCAAGGAATTGTTTTATTTACTGATTTTTATCGTAGTCAAATATATTAACATAAAGTTTACCATTTTAACCATCTTTAAGTGCACAGTTCAGTGCGTCAAGTACATTCATATTGTTGTGCAACCATCTCCACCATCATCTCCAGAACTTTCCCTTCTGTCCTCATTAAACACCAACTCCCCATTTCCCCTCCCCCTACTTCCCACTACCCAGCATCCTACTTTCTGTCTCTCTAAATATGACTCCTCTAGGTCCCTGGAATCATACAGTATTTGTCTTTTTGTGATTGGCTTATTTCACTTAGCATAATGTCCTCAAGGTTCATCCATGCTGTAGCATGAGTCAACACTTTTCTTCCTTTACATGGCTGGATAATATTCCATATGAGTGTGTGTGTGTGTGTGTGTGTGTGTGTGTGTGTGTGTGCACGTACATTTTATTCATCCATTCACTGCTGATGGGCATTCAGGTTGTTTCTGCTTTTTGGCTGTTGTGAATTGTTCTGCTATGTACATTTGTATACAAGTATCTATTTGAACCTCTGCTTTCAACTTTCAGTTTATTTGGATATATACCCTGAAAGTGTAGGGAGCATTTTATCACTAGGAAGAAGATAAAGGGAATAAAATGAAAGGTCCAGACTTCCAGGAGTTTTCATTGTCAGGTCCATAGATAGAATTCAGGGCATTTGTGAACTTGGATGTGAGAACATAAATGGCATCTTTAGGGTCACTAACCTATACCTGCAATGTGGCATTGCCTTTGATGATGACTGTAGGCAGTACTGCAGTGGTATTAGCAGTACTTGTGACTCGGTCACCAGTGGAAGTCACAGATGTGCCTGTCGTTGTAGATATCTTGGAATATCATAATGTTTGTCACTATTCCAAAGTTAGGGTAATTATCAGACCTACAGCTAGATCTTGCAAAATATTTCTATACTAGAGGCCCAATGCACGGAATTCGTGCAAGAGTAGGCCTTCCTTCCCCTGGCTGCCTGCACCAGCTTCCCTCTGGCACCAGGACCCAGGCTTCCCTCACAGCCCCGGCTTCGTCCAGAAGGTCGTCTGGAAGGATGTCCGGTCTAATTAGCATATTATGCTTTTATTATTATAGATGATTGGTTTCCTTTGCAATCCTATGAGTTTATTTTATGCTTTTATAGATACTCTAAGAAGGCGTCCAGATTCTTCACCAGACAGCCTAGGACTCCAAGGCCCAAAAAGGTTAGGAAGACCACGTCATCTTTCCCCCGCCTCTCAAGTGCAGACAGGCTGCCGGTCTCCTCAGCGTGCCCCTGGAGGGCCAGTGCAGGAACAGCCACCACGCAGGGTTGCATCATTGCTTCCAGGCAGCCCCAAGGAGAGAACCAGTTTCTTCAGAGGGATAGTAGGGGGTCCTGGGCCTTTGCTCCTTTTCAGCTGCTCCCACCCCCCAAAGATAAGAAGAGAAATTTCATTGAGTTACCAGGAATCTTCTCTGTTTCGGGGATGGCTTTGGACATGTTTTGAGGTCATCTGGGCTCCCAGGAGTGAGCACACGGGGGCGTGAGCTTTGTAGTTTCAGGCTGGTTTCACTGAAGGAGGCAGCATGTAGGGTGACGTTGCAGCTTAGACAGTACTTGGCCAGACAGGTCTGAACCCGAAGAGGAATGTGTTTCCTTGGTTTTCACCCACTTGAGAAAATCTCCACTCTCCAGCTCTTCTGCCCAGATGGGGCAGGGAAGCAGGTGCCGGGGAGCAAGGTGTCTGGGGCGTGGCAAAGAGCCCTGGTGGGGAAGGCCAGGCTAAGTTGTGTAAGAAACTGCCTTCATAGCCAGCATGTCAAAATATCGTTTCTCATCAATAAAAATAAAAATAATAATAATAATAATGATAATAATAATAATGTGCTTGAGGGACAGATAGATAGCTGAAGAAGCAAGAACAGTAAAATGTTCTTTGTAGATTCTAGGTGATGAGTGTACGGGACCCACCATAAGATCATTTCAACTTTTTTCTTCTTTATTGATGCAATACTTACTTACAGAGGTACACAATTGAATCCATGAATTCTCACATCTCATCTGCCTGTGACGCAGGCCACCAATTAGAACGTCCCTTTGAACATCGCTTGCATCCCCAGAAGCCACCCTCAGGCCCCTTTTATTAACCACCTCTGGCTCCCCCGCAAAGTTAACTTTCTATGTTTTAGTTTTTCCTAGGTCTCTGCTTTATATTGTTACCTTTTTTTGTTTTGTTCTTTGTTTGTTAATCCTCACCCGAGGATATTTTTCCATTGATTTTTAGGGAGAGTGGAAGAGAGAGGGAAAGACAGAGATAAACATTTATGTGAGAGAAACATAGATTGGTTGCCTCCTGTACAAGCCTCGACCAGTGCCTGGGCCTGGGCTGGGGAGGAGCCTGCAACGAAGGTACGTGCCCTTGACCGGAATCACACCTGGGATCCTTTGTTCCACAGGCTGACACTCTATCCACTGAGCCAAACTGGGTAGTGAAGTTTCTGCTTTATAGAAAGGAAATCACACAGTGTGTATTCTTTCATGTTTGGGTTCTTTGGCTCAATATTACATTTCTGAGATTTGTCCAGATTTTGTATATCACTAAAGGTTATTCATTTTTCTTGCTAGATAACATTTATCTTAAGAATATACCCATTCTACTGATGGTGGGCATTTGAATTGTATCTCTTCTTTGGTTTCTATGAAAAATACTGCTAGGTTACTATGAATAACTCTTGCCTACATCTCTTGGGGAGTATGTGCATGAAGTGCTATTGGCTTAGAGTTAGGAAGGAGTTGGTAGTCACATGGTATGCGTTGATTCTGCTTTTGTAGATAATTCCAGACACTTTTCCAAAGTGGTTGTACCAGCTTACAAGCCCAGGAGCAGATTTTCGATTGCTTCACATCCGTGCCAATATTTGTTCATGTTAATCTTTTAAAAAATTTTGGCTATTTTGATGAGTGTGTAGCAGTATTCAGCTTTATGTTTGAAAATTCTCATAATATTTTGAAAAATGTCACTCACACTCACATAATGACTTTATAGAAAACTGAGATTTTAAAGGAAAATGGTTAAAATTGGCACTTCCCTGGCCTCTTCACTATGGACAGCTCTAAGGCCAGCCCTATGTCCGTGACCCCATGGTTCCCCCTCTGCCACGGGCCCATGCTGATGAGCCCCAAATAAAGTTTAAAAAGTTGGGTGTAGACAGAACCTGGGGTCCTGAGTGAGGCATGATAACTCACTCAATTGAGTTATCATGACGTGGAGGTGGGCTCAGAGCTGGTTCTGACCTGGAGGAAGTCCTGACACCTGCGCTTCGCAGAGAGATGTGTTTTTGAGTCAGTGGGAAATTAAAATGGCTCATTGCCTGTTGGCTAATTCTAGTTGATTGTATACCTGTTCCTGGCATCTTCCTGGTCATGGCTATCTAGTCACCAGGACCTCCCTCTCTGACATAGCACAAAGGATGCTCAGGTCTTGAGCTTTTTCCTTAGGTTGGCCACTGCTTAGCTGAGTTCTCCCAGCATAGATGGTGGCCCTAATTCATGCCCTTCACTCAATGAGTACTTATTGAACATACACTTTTATGCCAGGCACTCACCCATTCTCCCTTCCACTTTTCCTTCTGTCTGTTGGTCCATCCATCCATCTATCCACCTACCCACCCACCCATCCACCCTCCCACTCACACAGCACTTACTGAGCACACATTGTAAATCAGGCCTTGGGCTAGATAAACACAGATGAATGAACTGTGAGTGGTTTATTCCTTTGAGGTTTTCCCAATACCCCCTATTGGAGAAGACAAATGAGTAAGTAGATATTCATAATACAGTGTGACACTTAGAGTGGGGTAAGTAAGGGTGGGGGTTGGGGGGAAGAGATATCTAGGCCAGATTAGGAGGATCAGGAAAAAGAGGTATGTAGGCCAGGTTAGGAGGATCAGGCCTGGAGGGCATGATGTTGAAGCTGTGTCTTAGGGATGTCTTGGGACAGCCCAGAGAGGGAGGGTTAGGTCTAGAGTGCCAGCTGGTTTCTCTGATGGAGGGAGACCCAGTGGTGGGCAATGCCTGGGACATTCACCAAGTGTGGGTGGGTGGAGTGTGGGGTCAGGTGGGAGATACAGCTCTGGCGAGGTCAGCAGGGCAGATGAGGTGCGGCCTGTGGGCCTTCCAAAGAGTGTGGGCTGTGAAGCTGTGGGACACAGGGATGGCTTTTATATGGAGTGTGGTGTACAGACCAGTGGCCCACCAAAGGTGTCACACCCTAATTCCCAGAACCTGTGAATGTGTGACCTGATATGCAAAGGGGACTCTGTAGACGTGGTTGAATTAAGGACCTTGAGATGGGAAGATGATCCTGGCTTATCCAGGTGGGTCCCAGGTAGTTACAGGTGTCTTTAAAATAGGAAGGGGAGGCAGGAGAGACAGAGGTGACAGTGATGCTACTGCAGGCTTTGAAGATGGAGGAAAGGGCCACAAGGCAAGGGATGCAGGAGGCCTCTAGGAGCTGGACAAGGCACAGGATCAGACTTCGCCCTGGAGCCTCCAGAGGGACTGCGGCCCTGTTAATACATGTGAGACACATTTTGGACCTCTGATCTCCAGAATTGTAAGAGAATAAATTTGTCGTTTTAAGCCACTAAGTTGTGGTCATTTGTTAACAGCAGGCCTAGGAAACAAATATTGGCTAAGTGCAGAGTCACCAGCAAACCTTTGTACAGGCTTGGGGTTAAGGGGGTGGAAACTTTTGGCCAGGATTGGTAAGACCATCACCATTACTTGAAAACCATCCTAGAGAGTTCATTTTCCAATCAGGCAACTATAAGTGGTTTTCTATGTAGATCAATTGTTACGATTAAGGCCAGGGGACATTAATCTCATGTAGGATCAGGAAACTCACCAGCCCTGATCCGTTCTTACCTGGGTCCCCTGTGTGATGACGAATGAGCCCTCTTACCTGGGGATTCTGATATGTCATCCCAGGCAAATATCAGGTGAAAAGGGCCCCGCTTCTTTTGGGCGCGGGGGGATCCCAGGGATAATGGCAGATCCCTCAGGGACCTTGATGGATTTCCCATTACTCATTCCTCCCGTCTGTGGAGCGGGAAGGTGGGGTGTTTAGTGAGTATCACTGTAACCTGTACTTTTCTAAAGTCAAACAGATTCCTCCTGGTGGGAGTATTCGTCTTTTATGGGATCGGTGTAGCCCGTCTGACTCAGCGACTCACCCAGCACCCTCTGCAGCTGACACTCTTGACAATTCACTTGAATCTGCTGCCTCCTGCTCACAAAAGCCTGCTTCATTATTCAGCTCCCCATCCTCCCGCAAAGCAGAGTGGAGCCTCTCCGCCCCCCTCCCACGTCTCTCCCGTAGCTGGGGGCCGTGTGACTGCTACCTCCACGGCTTCTGTGTCACCGGGAAATGGAAATATCACCAAGTGAGGGAACTGTACGCCTCCTCCAGACACTATCCACGGTGGTGGCATCCTAAGCGGCCTAGCGTGCAGGCACTGTGCTCTTCCTTAGTACATTATCTTATTTGATCACGACAACCCCTGCACTGGAAACACTTTTTCTCCTAACATCCCAGGGTTAATAATTGGAAAAGCTAAACCTAGCACCCAGTACATTAACCCATTCGCTGCCCTCTTCCCTTCTAGCTTATCTGGGATGATCCCTACTGTGGGCTGAATTGTGTGCCCCCAAAAGATATGCTCAAGTCCTAACCTCCAGTACCTGGAAACGTGACCTTATTTAGAAATAGGATCTTGGCAGATGTAGTCAAACCCAGATCTACCGAATGACCTTTGCTTGGTGAACTGGATTCATTGGGTTCAAGAATCATTCCCTTGGCTTCCAATTTATGGTTAGATTTCAAGAGGTCAAACCATGTATTGTGGGTTTTCCCAGACTAGATGATTCAAACCATGCCACAGCCAGGAAAGAGAAAGAGAGAGAGAGAGAGAGAGAGAGAGAGAGAGAGAGATATTATTGACTAAGAAACATTAATTTCTGTTGCAAATGACTAGTTGGGGCTAGTTGTTGATTATCTCACCTCTGTTGCCTTTTGTATTTAGAAATGGCTCATAAATTTGCTTACGTGGGTCTGGTTTGTCTTCTAAAACGAAATGATTGCATTGCAAATAGTTCTAAAACCATGTTGTGATTTGATAGCTTCCATTTTATGGTGCTCTGACTGTCAGGCACTGAGTAGGGTGCTTGACTTACATTGTCTGTAGTTTTTGCAGTAATTTGGTGGGGGCTCCATTTTACAGATGAGGAAACTGAGGTTGAGGACAGCTGAAGAAGTTAGGTGCCCAAGGTCACACAGCTCATATGCGTGCAAACTGGCTTTCAAACTGCAGGTTTTTTTGACATAAGATTGGTCATCTCTGCTAGTGTTCATGCTGCCAACAGTTTCACAATTCGATGGCAGAGAAAAACAAATACAGTGTTCATGTTTGGATTTGTGTTTGGTAGAAGAATGTGTGTGTGAGTGTGTGTGTGTGTGTGTGTGTGTGTGTGCACGCGTGCGCGCACACACATGCGTGCGCATATGCTTATGCAGGAGGCCTATGCATATGTATAACTGACTTCAAAAACCATGACTATCACTAATTTTGAAAAATGTCCTAAACAACCTCTCTCACCAGGCCAATAAATTGAGCCCAACAGATAAATCACTGGGATTATTTGCCGTCTCTTCAAGTACCTTTTAAATCCTGCAGATAGTCTGTGGTTCCCCAGGGCCCGGGGCTGGCTGTCTTCTCCTTGGCTTGTCCAGTGGCCGAGTCAGGAGAAGCTTCCTGGGGCCAGAGGTGGAGCTGTGGGACCCGATGCCTGGCAGTGGATCAGCGGGACCCAGGCCTTTTCTCCACCAGCCCCAAAGGAGGCCAGAGGCTCGGCATCCAGTGTGGGTCTCTGCCCTTTTCCCATGGTGCTGTCAATGATTAACCGTGTGACTGGGCAACCGCATTGCCTCCTGGGCCTGCTACAAAGGCAGTGTGGCTCAGCGGGAGGTCACCAGCTTGCTTACAGATGGTGTGCCTGGGGTGCCTGCTTGGACATTCCTGACGCTGCACCTGAGGGCCTTTACCCTGACTGGCTTCTCTGTCTAGGGCAGGGGTGGGCAAACTTTTTGACTCGAGGGCCACAATGGGTTCTTAAACTGGACCGGAGGGCCGGAACAAAAGCATGGATGGAGTGTTTGTGTGAACTAATATAAATTCAAAGTAAACATCATTACATAAAAGGGTACGGTCTTTTTTTTTTTTAGTTTTATTCATTTCAAACGGGCCGGATCCGGCCCGTGGGCCGTAGTTTGCCCACAGCTGGTCTAGGGTGTCTCTGCCCAAAGAACCACACTGCCCACACCTTCACTTCTTTTTTATCTTTGCTCAGAAGTTACCTAATGAAGTTTCCTTGATTATTCCATCTACAATGTTGACATTTCCCCCTCCCCCAATGTTTTATTTCTCTTTCCCTGGCTTATTTTTCTTCTTGCACTTACCATAGTCTAACAGACTATATGTTTATTTTGTTGATTGTTTCCTCCTGCTAGAAAGGCAGGGATTTTTGTTGTTTTCTGTCCCCCTCTACTGTATCCCCAGCATTTACAACAGGGCTGGTACATGTGCATGCTCAATAAATAGTTCTTGAGTAAGTGAACGATGAATAAATGAATGTATTGAGCTTCACAGAGCCTCACTTTGCTCATTGGAGTGAAGTCTGCCTGCTAAGTGTGTAGTAGACACTCGCTAAATGATACTCACTAAGTGATACTTTGGTTATTATTTATTTTGTTATTATATGCTTTATCTTTAAAACCAAGGGGCTGCATCTGAAGGTTTCCCAGAGCATGAGCAGGGCCAGAGTCAGTCCAGAGTAGCGGGAAGTGCTAGTCTGAAGGAGGCAGCAGGCAGAACCCTTCCGTGGCCTCCTCTGCCCATCAGCCTTGAGCATCCTTTGGGCAACCAGTGGGGCTTCAGATGGGGAAGATCCTGGAGATTAATGTTTTCTTTTTCCTGCTGCCTGATTGCTGCTTACAGCTCCACTGCCACGTGTGTGTTGGGTTTGTGTCTCTCCACCACACTGGGACTGGGGCACTTGTCTCTGTTGAGGTTCCTGCACTTGGGCACGTCCTGGACAGCCTGGGGTCAGGTTGCATCTCATGACCAGGACTTTCAGGAATATACCCTTTTGACCACACAAGGAAGGCCACACATGCCCAATTGTAGTGAACTCTGAACCCTTTGAAGCACTGTGAAACTCGCATGGTACCCTCAGTAAGGATTCGTTATCCTAAATCCCATTTATTCCCCTCACTTTATGGGTTCATTAACTATTTGCATTTCTTTTGCATATTGTTCAGAATTTTTGTGCATTTTATTTTTAATTGGGGTATGTGCCTTTTTAGGAAAGTAGTTTGTGAGGGTTTTATCTTTAACATAGAAAAATTATTAATTCTTTTTCAAATCATATATATAATAATTGTTATCCCTTCCCACTTTTTTATTCTCCAGTCTCTTAATTTTGTGTGGGGCATTTATTGATATACTAGAGGCCTGGTGCATGAATTCATGCACAGGTAAGGGTCCCTTGGGGTGGCCTTCAGGGATTGGGCCCCTAGCTCACACCCCCAGGCTCGCAGCCCTGCAGCCCCACCTGTGGCCTGGTGCCACCCTCTCACTTGCTCCAGCATCCCGCCTGCGGGGGGGTGA